GGCTACTACCTTTGGTAACGGCTTCTTAGTTCTGGGGCACAGTGTGCAGCAAATCAATAAATTAGCTTAGCACTCAATCAAATAAATAAAGTAACAAGGAGCAGCACTGGCAAGCATGTTACAAAGACATCCAAGATATTCTCATGCAGCCAGCACAGGTCTGGCAAATCCAGAATGAGACAGAGCTAATAAGACCTGGCAAACCCAAGCTGTGCCTGCATCTGTGGTGCAATTAATCTGTGACATGAACAGTCTGCCTGCAGATAACTGTAAGCTGACTATAGGTACAAATTTAACAAATTACATTAATTAATAGTTGCAGATAAATTGAAAAAAATCATTCATATTTGGCAACAAACAGCAAATACCACTACAGCTCTCAAGTGTGAACATTATGCATCAGCAATTATGAGACATAGCAAAGTCATGATACTGTACGTATGCATTTTGACGTAAACTAATTTTGATCTCATTATTATAATTTCTTGTGATAGACATTAACATAAATTATGTTACCATAGCACACAGAAGTCCCACTCACAGGCACTATTGCCTTGAGTGATACACAAATAGATGACAAAAGGTAACACCACGAAGTGTTAACACAGACCTATGAAACAAAAGATGGGAGTATGAATAGATTACAAGAGTGGTCAACATGCCAGGAAGAGATCTGTGCATACGAGTAGCTTAGCTACTGTCAGCTTTTATAGATGTCACAGTAGAACAGCCCATTAGGAAGGAAAGGCTTTGCATGATGACAAGAAGAGTGCTTTTTATTAAGAAATTAATTGTAGTTCCTTTACCATATTACCAGTGTTTCTCCCACCCATGTCAGTTCAAACCAAGAACGATTGTGTCAAGACAACAACAATTTCTGCTTCTCCTATTGCTCTGAAGTCTGCAATCCACATGGCATAGTTTCAGCAGTCATTCTTCCTAAATCCTAATGTTAGGGAGGGTAAGTGATCTAAGAGGGGGACACGCTGCCTATGGCAAAGGCAAAGGATTACAGGACACAGCATCTAGAAATTTCTAGTCTTCCCTCTTCTGAGAAAAGTGTCATCTTCTGGTAAAAAAGGGCAGCAAGTTGAAACAATCTCCTATAATCATTTATGTGGCTGCTCAAACCCCAGTGTTAGGCAAATTTATAAGTTGGTATAGGTTTATCCATGTGCCTGATATTCAGACCTGGTGCCTTTTTAAGACCATCTCTAGTCTTAGCTGTTACTTCAAAAAAAGTCATGAGCTGTGGCAGTGTTTCAGGTACGTTAGCTGTCAAGGCCTAGAGCAGAAGCCCCTTCTTGGAACATCATTGCTTATGATAGAGTTTAGACATCTGCGTCCAAGGTCAGCTGCTCTGCTGATAAGACCTGTTGTGAAGAAAGTTAGAAATGAGGGCCTCATCTCCTTTTTCTTGGGAACTACTTTTAAGCTACATCTACACTTGGTCCCCTATCTTCTTGATTCTTACTCAGACCATGACTCAGACCTACTGGCTGGTCTTCCTGGCTTTGTCTCAGACCTGCCTCATCACTACAGATTTGCCATGCAATCACTGGACTATGTCTGACCCTCTTCACTGGCTCTGGTTTTCTCATAAACTTGACATGCTTCTCCACACCCTGCTGCTTCTTGGTGAGGTCTCAGCTCCCATCTGCCTTGGCATCATGCTCCACCTGTGGCCCACCTTCCTTTGCAGAGCAGATGCCACTCACTGCCCCCTGACATTGCCACTGTAACCCATTACTGCGCTGCCATGCTTAAAAATTTAGTCACACGGAGCTTTTAATGTGCAGAACAACTGTGTTGACTGTCCACAGAAAAAGAAGCATAAGCCACACAAGGTAGCAGAGACACACAAATTCTCTCACTGCTCAGCAGCTGCTCCATACACCTTTGTTTCACCTTAAATGAATTCCTAGCCTTCAAGATTGAGTAAAGATTTGTAAAGCCAGCATGCCCAGACATCAGGCCAGCTCTGACTCAGGGGAAATATTTACAGAATGCAGAACCAAGATGAAATGTCTTTCTTATAGGGCTCATTAGGACTGCTGTGGCACTTCAGCTATTCTTGGCTTCTGGACTATCTCTGGAGGTGGGAGAGAGAGAGACAAGCATATATATGGTCAACAATCATGTACTACGATTATTGCTGGTCTGCAAGGCCTATACATGAGCTAAAATCATGTTGAATAAGGTTCAGTATATTCTGTGTATAAGCAGAATGCAGATGTACAAACATTTAAATATAAGACAGGAGATGACAGACACACAGATGGAGGAGAACCATTCTGAGCAGTACAATAGGCAGAGGCCTCAGTACATCAGGAAACTTAGCATTATCCAGTTTCATCACAACAAGAGATAATCATTAAGGAGCGTTTGAAGTATCAAGATGATACACTTCTGTGGATACTTGGATACGTGAGGCAAAAGTGAAGGAAACAATGAAAGCAGATAAAAGGAAAATGAAAGAAAATGAGATGCTTATCTGAAAGCAGGAAGGAAGTCTTTTGTGTAGAAAGTCTTTTGTGTAGGAAGTCAAGACCTCGATGAAAAAGACTAACCTGGTTAAACAGAGAACATAGGATGAAGCTTGGGAAAAAAAAAGAGAATCTGTCATCTCTGGAAGGAGGGTTAGGCAAGTTGAGAAGACTCAACTCTCTACAGAGAGGCCTGGACCAACGGGCTGAGAACAACTGCATGAGGTTCAATAAGGCGAAGTGCTGATCCTACAGTTGTAACACAACAACTCCATGCAGTGCTACAGGCTGGAGGAGAAGTGGCTCGAGAGCTGTTCAGCAGAAAGGAACTTGGGAGTGCTGGTGGATGGCCAGCTCAATATGATCCAACAGTGTGCACAGGTGGTCAAGAAAGCCAATGGCATATTGGCCTGTATCAAGAATAGTGTGGCCAGCAGGACTAGGGAAGTGATCATCCCCCTGTACTCTGCATTGGTGAGACCACACCTCGAGCACTGTGTTCAGTTTTGGGTCCTTCACTTTAAAAAGTACATTGAGGCACTGGATCGAGCCCAGTGAAGGGCAATGAGGCTCATAAAAGGTCTAGAGCACGTCTTATAAGGAATGGCTGAGGAAATTTGGTTTGTTTAGCCTTGAGAAGAGGCAGCTCAGGGGTGACCTCATCGCTGTCTACAGCTGCCTAAGAGGGGATTGTAGAGAGGTGGGGGATGGTCTCTTCTGCCATGCCTGCAATGAGAGGACCAGAGGGATTGGTCATAAGCTGAGACAAGGGAGATTCATATTAGATGTTAGGAAAGGTTTTTTCACTGTTAGGGTGGCCAGACACTGGAATAGGTTGCCCAGGGAGGTGATGGAAATGTTTAAAAGGCATCTGGATCTGGTGCTGGAGGATATGGTTTAGAGTTTAGGGGTCACAGCAGAGTGCCAGGTTAATGGTTGGACTTGATGATCTTAGAGGTCTTCTCCAACCTTGATGATTCTATGATTCTAAAGTTCGACTAGTGGCTACAAAAAAATGTATTCAGCTGATGAAAGACAGGACCCAACTACTTGGTATAAAAAATGTGGAAAATGGATAGGCTGTAAAAGCTTGCAGTTAATTAAAGACACTTGCCGAGACCAAAGAAACAATGTTCTGAGAGTTAGGATGAAAGATAAAAACATAGCTAAGTGATGTCGATGGATAGGGAGGACCATATAATAGAGATCTGATGCAGAGAATCCTAAAGACTTAGAGCTGGACTTTAATAGATGATTTATGTGCTGATTTTAGCCGTGTCTGAGTCTGCTTTGAAAAAGGGGATCTTCTTACCAGTTTTACACTGGTCAAATGCCCAATGGAAAAACCTGTCAATAATTTATCTTTCATTTCTGACTTTAAAAGCTATGCACTATTTGATTGTTCCCAGATTACACAGTTTTGCAATATTATGCATTGAACAAGTGATTAGCATCATTTGATGTGATGGAATTACTCAAAAACCAGCAGGTATCTGTGAAAGAAATTTTACCTAATTCAGGTGTGCATTCACTGGCACAAGAAAACAGTGAGGAATGTAGGAAGGAGTGGATGTCAGAAGCATGTATGCATTAATAGAGTGACAGTGGTCCTGTTTTCACCTTTCACTGCTTATGCAAGTATTAAACTATTTTTGTTGCATTTTTGGTCACTATAGTTATCTATTGCTCTTCCTCTTCAGTTTACTCCTTTCGGTCCTCAACCCTACCATTCACTCACCCAAACTACCCAGCTGTACTTTCATGCCTAACCCAGTCAGTCTTCTCTGTCCTGAGATCTCCCAATAGAGGAGAGTCTTCCCTGCCTAACTTATTTTTTTAAACAAATATCTTCTTGGCCTTGCCTATTTCCTTAGCTCAAAGATTCCCCAGTTGTCTCAAGCACTCTTAACACCTAACTGTTTCTTGCTGTCATCATGCTAGCGTGGTTCCTAGCCCCCCATGCATCCTCAGTTTTCTCTTACTTTCTGTCCATTGTTGATGACTTTTCCAAATTTTCCAAAGATTATTTCTGAAACCTTGACATGCCTTGTACGCAGTACTGTAGGAAACAACACACTGACTCACTGTCTCATTGCACTGCAAAACTTGCATGTCTGTCTTTGAGAATATGTCGAATGTCTCCTAAGGTGTTCAGAATGTAAGAGCTTGCATGGTTGATTGTCTTCTGAAATAATAGTTCCTTTGATTCATTTTGACATGTCATAAAATGCCCGAGTACATTGTCCTAGGATGTACATTTGTGTGTTTTAGTTATGTTCACAACGGTAAAAACAATATTTAAAATGCAAAAAGAGAACACAAATAATTTGGTAAGTTGTTTTACAAGTGTTTTTATGGTAACTCTAATGGAAGTCTGTGCTAATTAATGAGCTACTTTCATTTTCTGTTTTATTTCCTTTGATCTTCACAGCTATCTCTAAAAGGATGTTTTCGAGTACAGAAAGCAATATGCAACAGTCCTAAAATCCTGATGACAATACACCAAGAACAAGAATGGAAGTCAATTTATTCAGCAATTCTACTGTTGTAAACAGTTCATCCATCAACCATAAGCAGTTAGAAGGGCATAGCCTCTGGGAAGTCATTACTATTGCCACTGTAACTGCAATTGTAAGCTTAATAACCATAGTGGGAAATATTCTTGTGATGATATCCTTTAAGGTCAACAGTCAGCTCAAAACTGTCAACAATTATTACTTGCTCAGCCTTGCCTGTGCCGATCTCATCATTGGGATATTTTCTATGAACCTTTATACGTCCTATATACTCATAGGCCATTGGTCGCTTGGAAGCCTTGCCTGTGACCTGTGGCTAGCACTGGACTATGTAGCTAGCAATGCCTCAGTAATGAACCTCCTAGTCATCAGTTTTGACAGATATTTTTCCATCACAAGGCCTTTAACCTACAGGGCCAAACGCACGCCCAAAAGAGCTGGCATAATGATTGGTATGGCTTGGCTAATTTCCGTCGTGTTGTGGGCACCCGTAATCTTGTTCTGGCAGTATTTTGTGGGTGAACGAACAGTACCACCTGATGAGTGCCAGATACAATTTCTGTATGAACCCATTGTCACCTTTGGTACTGCAATTGCTGCTTTTTACATTCCGGTGTCTGTGATGACCATTCTATATTGCCGCATCTATAAAGAGACAGAGAAACGTACCAAGGACCTTGCTGAACTGCAGGGTTCAGAGTCTGTGGCAGAGTTTGAGACAATAAAGCCTCAGAAAACTCTCCTAAAATCTTGCTTCAGTTGCAAGCAACAAAACTTAGTCAAAAGAGAGAGGTGTCAGGCTTCTTGGTCTTCATCTAGTCGAAGTACATCAGCTACAGTGAAAGCCTCTCAGGCAGCAAGTACTTGTATCGACTGGGCTAAGGCTGACCAGTTAACCACTTGCAGCAGCTATGCATCTTCAGAAGAGGAGGATAAACTTGCCGCTGACTCAGTTTTCCAAGTAACTTACAGTAGTCCATCTAAAAGTAAGGCAGAAGAGTTTAATGAGAGTACAGATGTTGTCAAAGACCAACCTGAAGAAAATGATTTTGAGAACCCGAAATACTTTTTGTCACCTGCCAAAGACCACATACGGAAAAGTAAAAAATATGTGGCCTATAAATTCCGATTGGTGGTTAAGGCTGATGGCATCCAGGAAGCCAATAATGGTTGCCAAAAAGTAAAAATAACTCCTTGTTCTGCTGCTCTGTCAAAGGATCCTTCCATCAAAAGCATGGATCCAAACATAAATAACCAAATCACCAAAAGGAAACGGATGGTTCTTATAAAGGAACGAAAAGCAGCACAGACTTTAAGTGCCATTCTTTTGGCTTTCATCCTCACATGGACTCCCTACAATATCATGGTTTTGATCTCCACATTTTGCTCTGACTGCATTCCCCTGACACTGTGGCACCTTGGATATTGGCTATGCTATGTGAACAGCACCGTTAACCCCATGTGTTATGCCCTCTGTAATAAAACTTTCAGGAAGACATTTAAGATGCTGCTTTTATGCCAGTGGAAAAAGAAAAAAGTGGAAGAGAAACTGTATTGGCAAGGTAATACCCGACTGCCATAATTGTTCTTCTGTAAGGAATAAGGAGAAATATAGATATTGACATAACCTAGCAAATTGACTGTAATTCTCTCTTTTCAAGACTGTTGCTTTATGTGTCTGTGGGTTAAAAAAATCTGCTGAAAAGTTACATTTTGCATGTAAGTAGTGTGCTTGGGATAAAAAAGTGGCTGCTGTAAGTTTTCGACTATGCAGTGGATCTGCATTAAATTTATTATGTTTGGGGTCTTCTGTCATTTGTTTCAGCCTGGGAATATGTAAATTATAAACTACTAGAAATTAGTCTGGGATGGCTGTCCAGTTAGCAGGTCAGGTCATCCAGTCTATCTCCCTGTACAGCAGAACTGTTCTTCTTATAGTTCCTTACTAGTGTATTGTCTATTTAGTTTTCAATATAGCAAGAATTGGAGCTTGCACTACTTCTGTTTTGAGACTTTTTTACCTGCTGTTGAAATGAAGCAAAGACTATGTAAAGGGATAAATGCTGTCACCCCCAATACTAAATGGTTAGGGAGATTCATAATATTCCAAATGAACATGCATATGATAGGAGAATGTAGTACTGAGAATATTTCCACTTTAAGGATGGCTTTTGTGGAGACATAGGAAGTGCTTACAGCGGAGGAAATAGATAATGTGTTTTGCAGGAATCCAGTCCCAGTCTCAGTTCCATCATGCAAGTCACTGTCATCTCTAAAAATGCTGATGGTTAGCAGATACTTCTTAATTTCTCCATTTCCCAGTGCCTTTGAAGAAATTTTAAAATTTTATGCAATAGTGGCAGTGGTACAAATCAGAACTGACTGTAAAGTATAATGGACACAGTCTATCTACAACACAAGTCTATTTTGCAATCTCCTTTGCTGCACTTCCCTTTGCCCCAGAAGTTCCCATTACTGATGGAATGATGCAGAACAAGAGAAAAATACGTGCTGGTGCTCTGTACATTTACCTATATATACAGTGACGGAATTGCCATCTCTGAAAGAAGAAAGACATTTTATATAACTTTTGAATATTTTGATGAAACTAGCAAGAACACTGCATTTATTTGTCTTTAAATAGCTTTACAAATACTAAACAACATCAAGTGTTTGGAAACATAAGTTATCTCCAGGCACTGTGTTTTGGTCCAGCAAAACCATATCCACTATAGTACTTAGGGTGAAGTCAACCCCTCTGATGACTGTGGCTTCTGGGACTGGGTTGTACTGGCCTAGTTACAATGAGCTGAGACACTGGCTGCTAGCTGAGGTTTGCTGGGGCTTTTGGTGCCAGGGCTGAATTGTCTGTGCCTCACTGCTCTCCGTGTTAGACCAGCATTGACCGAGTGAGCATATGAGCAAGGTGCTGCCTTCAGTAGCTGAAGGCCATTGGAACAGAGCTGGCAACCTGGCTCCTTGCAGTGGGAACAAGAACCCTCAGAAAAGGCCGCAAGAAAACAAAAATAATGGCAACAAGAGTCATGAGGAATGAAGTCCTAAAGAAAATGAATGTTTATGAATAAATGAGAAAGATGTTCATGTACACAAGTTCAAATTCATTTCTAGCCTTTCTATCAAACTTCTGAATTACATACTATGTAATGGGACAATCTTCATATTGGGACAATCTTCGTGTTATACCTACTATACATTTTAGTAGGAAATTTCAGTGGTGACATGACCTGGTTGTACATTTCAGGGATTGTATTAGTCATCATGAATGTACCATTGCTCTCAGTGAAATTGGTTGTATAATTTATTAAATTACCATACCATCAAAATGTT